AAAAAAAAAAAAACCAAAAACTTACCCATACTAAATGAGATACATGCTGATAAATTCTGTTCACAATCATTTTATTTTTGAAATTTTATGTTCCACTACATTGAAGCTGTCACTCACTAAAGGGTTACAAACCAGGGTGGCCAGGTTATATCCTGGTACATAGTTTTTGGTTTTCATCGACAGTTCCTGGCTCGTATCTCTGACCTACCTTACCTGACAGTAGGTCATAAGACCCTCTGTATTCCAGAGGTGTTGCCCATTCCCTGAAGGGAGGGATATTGCAGACAGCTCCAAAAGAATCTGAACAGACAGATCTTGCTGAGTTTTCCCACCCAGTTGATTAGCAATCATGCATGTGCAACAAGGTCTCCATAAAAACCCAAAAAAGCAGAATTCGGAGAGCTTCTAAATAGTTGAACACGTGGAGGTCCCTGGAGGGTGGCATGCCCAGAGAAGGTACGGGAGCTTGTGCCTCTTCCCACACACCTCGCCCTGTGCCATAACCTTTGTAATTTCCTCTATAATAAACCAGAAAACACGTTTTCCTGAGTTCTATGAGCGGCTCGAGCAAATTAATCAAACCTGAAGGCAGATTGTGGGAACCCCGATGTACAGCCTGTTGTTCAGATGCACAGGTAAAACCACCCGGGACTCACGATGAGCACCTAGAGACAGGGGGAAGTGTCCAAGATTGTACGGTCAATCTGTGCAATCTGACGCCATCTCCAAGTAGACAGAACTGGAGTCAAGGACATCAGCTGGTGTCTGCTGCAGAACTGCTTGCTTGCTGGCTGGCGGGGAGAAATCTTCCATGCCTTTTGAGGTCACAGAAGTTTTCTGTGTTGATTGCAGTGTGAGAGTAGAGGGAAAACAAGGCATTTTTTCTTTCGTGATAGTCTGGGTATAACCTTCAGCTTTATTACTGAAAGAATGCAAAATTAAGCTTCCCTTCAGCAGCATGCCTTGAATCTTACTGGGTTTTAATTCACATTTCCATAATTACTTATGAAATGTTCCACTTTGTCACAGGTTTATTGGACTCTTATATTTATGCTCCATGTGAAAGGTCCTTTAATATATATGTCCACTTTTTTACTGAATTGCATTTTTCTTATCAATTTACATGAGTTATTAACAGTTGGGTTACAGATCTTTCCCAGGGTTGTCTGACTTTTCATTTGCTTTATGGTGTGTTTTGACAGTAGATGTTCATATTTAATGTAATCAAATTTACCTCTTTACTTTTTATCTTTTTTGAGTGCTTATGAACTACAGCAAGAACATAGCAATACCCTCTTGTATTTGCTTCCAAAACTTTTACATTTTTCCCTTTCATATAATCCTCCCCAGCCAGGCAAGGTGGCACATGCCTGTAATCCCAGCACTTGGGAGGCTGAGGCAGGAGGACTACCTGGAATAAGTACATAGTGTTCAAGGCCACCCTGAGCTACATACGGAGACCCTGTCTCAAAAACAAAAACAAAAACCCTCCCCACATTGACTTGCTGGGCAATGTAATGATCAAATGGCTTTGCAGTTGTTTGAATATTATTTTTTGATTGGAAATCAACCAACTATGGCCTATTAAGTCAAATCTAGCTCTCCACTTGTTTTTGTAAAGCCTACTAGCTAGAAATGATTCTTGCATTTTCAGTGACTGAAAACATGAAAGGGAAATTAATAATTCATGACCCATGAAAATAATGTAAAATTCCATGTATATAAGGCTTTATTAGAACACAGCCATGATCACTTGTTCAGTATTGTCTGTGGCTAGTTTCACACAACCCCAACAGAACTGAGTAGCTCTACTGACAGAGGTCCATACAGCTTAAACTATTCACTGTTTATTCCTTACAAAAATGTTTGCCAGTCCCTGAACAGTTCATTCGTTCCCACTGATGTATGCACTACCTCTACTGTAAATTAAGGTTTCATTATTTTCTAGGTCTGAAGATTCTACTCAATTCCATTGGTCACTTTTAACTCTTTCTTGCTGCACCAAAAAGATGTACTATCTTGATCGCAATAACAATTTCTAAGAAGCCTTAATATGTATTTTAAAAAAATAAGTCTTCCTCCCCAGTGTTCCTTGTCAGTGAAGTGACTAAACCCTTTACTTCTCCATATACATTTCAAAATCTATGCCAATTCCAGGAAAGACTGTTAGGATTTGGCTTGGAATCATTCAATCTATAGATGAATCTGGAAGAAAAACTGACATATATATGAAACAGAGGCTTCCTATCCATGAATAATATACCTCTTCTACTTATAAATTCTTTTTCACTATTTTTTCCATAGAAGTCTCACTCCTCTGTTGTTTGAATGTTTGGTAAAATTCGCCTATAAAACCATCCAAGCATCCCATTTCTTTGCATGAAAACTTTTAACTACTTATTTAATTCCTTGAATTTTTATAGGATGGTGTTTTTTATTCTTAATTCTGTTTTGAAATGTATCAACTCCATCAAAATTTTCCAATTTCCTGTTATAAAGTTATTTATTATTTGCTGTTTGTTTGATCTCCTTAGCATCTGTAGGTATGGCCCCCATTTTATTCCTAAAATAACTTGTGCATCCTCTTTCATGCATCTATTTGCTTCATTTAACTTTGCTCATCTTTTTCTTTCTTCCTTTTTTATGCAGTATCTTCTTAAATTGCATGGTAAACTCATTAATTTGCATTTTTTCTCTTAAGTAAGGATTTATGTTACAAATTTCTTTCTGAGCATTTCTTTTGCCATATGGTTGAAACATTGATACCTAGTTTTCTGTTACTATTTAGTTCTAAATATTATTTAAGTTCCATTATGTTTTCTTTTGGTACCGGGGATCGAACTCAGGACCTTGTGCTTTCAAGGCAGGCGCAGTGCCCCTGAGCTAAATCCCCAGCCCTATGTTTTCTTCTTTGATTCATAATTTATCTAGCAGTATTGTTGCCAATCAGCCTAGGGTTCTTTTGCTCAATTCTGATAGAGACGGGAAGGTGACCCTGAGCTGAGTTGGGAAGAAAGGAGCAGGTGAGAATGAGGGATCAGAGAGTTGGGGGTGGGCAACCAGAACCAGTGAGGAAGCCAGAGTACTGAGGAGGGAGGTAGAAAAGATAAGGCAGAGGAAAGAGGTGGAGAGAAAAGGGAAATAAGGGGGTTTTAGGAAGACTGGTGAGAGCACATCCTGAATTGCCTGTGGCAGAGGATTTTTATTTTAACTTTACTCGACACCTATGGACTCCAGCTCCTGAGGCTTAGGTGTCATGCTGGATCAAATTCCAGGCCAAGAGCCCTAGCTAGCTGACTTCTGTTTGTGTCTAGCAGGACTATCTTGCCGCTCCACATGTATCCTAACAACCTGAAACACCCTGCAGTTGAGATCACTGGAGGTGGACTCTGTTTGCTGTGATGCAAAGAACACAAAAGGGAAAGAGAAAGAGAAAATCATCCAAGGGCCTCACCAGGACCGAGCCAGTCTGTGCTGCATTTCACCAAGAAAACCCTTTTTTATTATGCTTTATTCTGAAAATAAACCTCATTATAAAACAGAATTAACTTCACAAACCAAACCCCAAACTCTAGCAAAACAAGACCCCCTCTTAATGTATAGTCATTCCTGACAGAAGAGTCTTTCCAGTTTATTGCTTTTGTTTCTTGTTTCTTGAGAACATGACTCCAATGAGGCTCACAGCTGCCAAGCCCACTCCTGCAATGCCTGCCGCCATGACGACATCTCTGACCTGCAAAAGAGAAGGGCTGAGTCAGCCTCTATGTCAGGAATCTGAGGTCAGGCTGTAATTCAACAGGGCCATTTAGCAATGGGAGTCTCACATGCCCCTTGGCCTCCCCTGGCCAAACTCAAAAGTCAACCATGGCCAGGGATTTAGCTCAGTGGTTTCGCTGCCTGCTGCACAAGCGCAAGGACCCGAGTTTGATCCCCGGTACCACAAAACAAAACAAAACAAATAAAGAAAACAAATATGTTAAAAAAAAAAAAAAAGTCAACCATTATTGGTAGGAAAGAGTAGAGGAGAAGAGTCAATGGGGAAAGAATCAGTGGGTGGAGCCAGCTGGCCTGGAATTTATACAGACCCAAAGATGGGAAACCCAATTCATCCTCTGCCTATTTAAATCCTCAGAGGCTGACTGTGGAAAGAACAGAGAGATTATGCCAGGATGGTCAAGATCCTAGCTGGCCAATGGGGATCTCTGGAAGAAAGTGTGAAGTCAGGGAGGAATTATTTACAACTCAAAAAAAAACACAATATCCATGAGAGCAAAGGCCTCACCATATCAGCGTATCGTCAGGGCCTGGTCCTGCCAGGTATGAAGGTGCTCTCTTTGTATTCTTAAATAAATGACTCAACTATTAACAGTAGAGATGTTACACATAAAGTTATCAGGATGTAGAATCTGACTTCTTTTGCTTGTAGCAGAAAAAAAAAGTATTGTAAAAGTAAGGGCAAATTTTAAGGTAGAAATTGAACATATGTCAAAGTTCACTCCCTCCTAAAACCTAACTAAAATAAAGTAAGACATTTGTTTGGACTGGAAGTATAGCCCATTGGTAAGCAGTTGCCTGGCATGTACAATGCCTAAGGTTCAATCACCAGTACCGCCAAAAATAAATAAATAAAAAATAAAAGATTTGTTTTAGGCATAATTCCACAAGGACACAGAATCCTGAGGCATCACTGGGAAAAGCTGAGGACCAACTCTAATGAAACAACAGAAACCTCTAAAAGAATCACACAGAAAGTTTCTGGAAACCACCCCCTCTTCCAGGTACCTGGAAGTGGGACAGGAGAGAGAGCTTTAGCCAGGTCCATGAACCCCCGCTCACCCCACCAGAAATCTCAAAGTTCATTCTCTGGAAAGCTGGAGATGGTAAAACAGGATTTGGGGGCCTAGAAATCTAGAGGAACAATGAAGTTATGTCATACTATAAACAAGGAATTGAGAGACTGTGAACATACTAAGTACGAGACTCTCAGATCTCCTGTCCCTCATAGGCCCCAGAACTTCACCTTCCATACAAAACTCTGGAAGATTTTTCTGGGAATCTGACCGGCCCGAGTACAAACAAAAGGCACCAGTACAGGGAACTCTCCAATAGCCCACACTGTGACAATATCACAGTGAAACTCAAAAGTTAACAAATCCCTGCCCCTATCCCCTCCTACTTCCTCCTGTACTTCTAGCTCATCTTCTGGATCTCACTTCTTTCTTCATTTTCGCTCTTCTTTGGTTGGAGGTTTGACTGATAATCAGTCTTTAAATTTCCTCAAAAAGGTTATTAGACACAGTTTTGTGGCAGCCATGGTTCTGCTGGTTTACCTTGCTAGAGAGCCTGCAAAACTCTCTTGTATCCACTATTTTCCTTGCTAAACTCTGTCAGGGTGGAAGAAATGTTCTGCAGACAATGGAAGAGGAACAATATGGCCCTAGTTCTTTACAGAACCTCACAGAGTGAAATCACATGCTGATGTAGTCTGTTCATACAAAGGATACTTTGACAAGGAAAACAACAATAACCTCATTGTTTGTGATCATACTTTATACACAAAGAGCATACTTAAATACAAGAAAGTGGCATCTACTTAGTCCTAATAGTGCAAACTTTTTAGGAAAAACAATATGTCCAAGATTGGTGCTACCTTCAGATGCCATTGATAATTTTCTTGTTGCACAGCTTATTAAATTCAGTTTAACCACTGTACTAATGTTACAGGAATTCTGATGGTGGAAATGGGCAACCCAGTGTGCATAACAGGTCCAAAATCAGAACACTGTGAAAGAAAATTACTGTAATCCTAGCTACTCAGGAGGCAGGAGAATCTCAAGTTTGAGGCCAGTCTGGGCAATGTAGTAAGTCCTTGTATCAAAAAAACTAACTAACTAAAAGGGGAGTGGGAATGCAGCTCAGCTGAGTGTTTGGCTAGCATGTATGAGGCCTTGGGTTCCATCTCCAAATTGTTTTAGACACACACACACACGCACGCACACACACGCATGCACAGTGAAGCAAAGCCTTCAACATTCTAAAAAAAAAATTATTTCCAATTTAGAATTCTATACTCAGCCTCATATCATTTTCAGGCTTGGGGAGTCTTTTTCAAATGCATCATTTCTCAGTAAATTTTAAAGAAAGTAGTCCCTAACTGAGTGAACCAAGAAAAGGAAAGATGTGAACTACAGAGAATAAAAACATTAATGCAGGAGAGAAAGGAAAAGAAAAGAATGTTTAGGATGCTGGTAAAGTAACAGCCAGCCCACATCAAGTGTGACTCAGGAGATAAATGGTTTGGTTTGGTTTTTCATTTGTTTGTGATGCTGGGAATGGAACCCAGGGCCTCACAGTGCTAGGCAAGTGCTCTACCACTGAGCTACATCCCCAGGTCAGGAAACAGTGTTTCAAAGGCCATTATCTGCGGAGGTTACCCCTCCCCAGGTCCCTTGATCCACTGCATTGTTTTTCACCTGCAGTGTCCAGGTACTCATGAAGTTCTTCTCATGGTCCTGCCCTCTGACTTTCCCAAAGGGGGCTTTTGTCACTTCTCAGGGAAGCTATAGTCCGATCATGACCCAGAAATTCCAGGAGTCTTCACCAACCACTGACAATATTGTCCTTTCCTTCCCTAGTTAGATATGTACTACTCAATTTTTATATTAAACTCCCTTGAAAGTCTTCTATATAAATAACTGATGAACAATAATAATCCAATTGATTGAGAAAAAATAAGATAGCCTTTAGAATGAGGTCTAATATCTCATCATAGACAGGAAGCAGAACCAACTAACCAAAATAGGGGTCAGTGGAGTAAGTACAGGTGGTTGTCAGCAGTGTGAGGGAAACTGAGGCTGATCCCTGCAGGTGGTGTTGGTGAAAGCCTCCCCATCCAAGTCACTGTGCCCCAGAGAGGTCAGTGGACAAAGCACTGAGTGAACCAAGCAAAAAGAACAAGACAAGGGCAAGCACAAGTATTTCTACTCTAACTTATCAAGCTCATTTTCTGAGTCAGCTCTGTACTGAACTGGTCTTGCTTTGAAGGACTACTTGACCTAAAGTTTCACGTGGAAACCCTCCAAGATCAGCTATCATTTGTACATGACCAAGTTTGAGGACAAAGACTAAATCTCCAAGGTCATACAGCTGGCAAAATGCGGGGCCCAGATCCAGCCCAGGTCTGCCTAACTCCAGGAGCCCATGATCTTGACCATCACAGTGGCCAAGGAAAAACAGACTGGATCTCAAAAACTAAAAATTAAAAATGAACAACCTGACAGATCCTAACCTCATCATTGAAGGGAAAAAAAATATTCTTTCTAACAGCCACATAAAGCTGGGCATGATGGCCCACATCCTATAATCTAGCTACTCTGGAGGGTGGGGCAGGAGGATTTCTAGTTTGAGGCTAGTCTAAGCAACACAGAAAGATTTCATCTTTAAAAAAAATTTTAGGGCTGGGGATGTAGCTCAGTGGCACAGGGCCTGCCTGGCAAGCAAGGTCCTGATTTCAATCCCCAGTACAAAAAAAAATTATTAAAAAATTCTTTCAATGTTCCCCCACCCTACTTGCAACAAAAGATGGGGAAATAGCAGAAAGGCAAGAGAAGTGAGACAGAACTGGCAGTAGTCAAAGAAATTCAATGAAGTGTGAGCAAAATCAGACCAAGTAAACAAAACTGTATTTTAGAGTCTCCTGGATTGCCTCTTGGGCTTCAGAAGGTCTGAGAACAATGCTGTTTGTGAGACCAGTGGGGCTGATCAGACAAACATGCGCTTCAAACTGCCTCTGCCACTCATGAGCACAGCTGCACTCACCTCCTAGGGAAAGATAGGTACAGCTCTGGAAACTCAACAGATATTTGCTGAATGAATGAATGGCCACAGACAAGTTACATAAGGCCTGGGAGGCTCAGTTTCACCATCTGTAAAGTGGGAATCATAAAACCTGATTCCAGGCTAACAGGGGTCATCTGGCGGTGGATGGCCAGGAAGGACTCAGCAACAGGCCTGACTATCATGGCTGTGACTCTCTTCCTTGGCCATCACCTCCATAACTGCACTGATCTGCATCGGCAGCTTGCCTGTCTCCCCAGCCTGACTGTGACACCCTTGAGCACAGGGATCACATCTCTGTATTTCGTTCACCCCTCTATTTCCATTCACACTGATGCCCAGTGACTGTCAGCTGGGGGAGTTGTCTGGCTCCTGGGGAACGAGATAGGCTGGGGACAAACCTGGTCACTGCGGGGAACTCCATATCGCAACTCGTTCACAAAGTGCTCACAGTTCTCACTGGTCAGCTTGTAGAGCACCTCTTGCCCCACCAGCTCCTCTGCCCGCTGGATGATTTTGCTGGGAGGCAGCGGTGAGTACTTGTCATCATGTTTGTTGTTGACCTGGTACTTGTCACTCCCGGCCACATCATACAGCAGCTCCTTCTTCACGACAGCCTTGTCAGTCAGGGCAGACATGATGCTGGCCGCGCCAGCTCCCGCGACTTCACCTGTGCATACACAAAGAGGACACAGGAACTGGCCCCAGGTAGGCCACAGGGACTCAAAACAGGCCCCCAGCTGGGCATCCACCCTTGGCACCAAACACAGAGCATGAGCAAGATATGGAAGGGTCATACACATGGCTGGGTGGCCCTGAAGCCTTGGTGGCACTTGTAGTCTCTGGGCTCCACCAATTACACCTGCTCAGTGCAATCAACACCAAGGCCCTACTGCATCCAAGGTGCTGGAGACAGTGGTATGAATAGGACAACAGGCCTGCCCTTGAGGGGCTCACACTCCAATAAGAGGACACTGATGATGAGCAAATACACAAATAAGGTACCTTCCAGTACTGAAAAACTCTGTGCAGAAGACTAAAGGAACTGACCTAGGAGCTCAGGGTAGAAAGGCTATCCCAGAAAAGGGCATCTGCATTGAGACTTGGATGGTGACTGTGCTAAGAGCTAAGGAAGCTCATGCCAAGCAGGAAGAACAGCAAAGCCAAAAACCTCAGAAGAAAGAACATGGCAGCCTGTAAAGGCAGCTACAAGGCCAATGCGGATGAAGTTTAGAGACCTCAGATGAAAGAAGCAAAAGATGAGGTCCAGAGAGGCAAGCAGAAGATACACCACTCGAGGTTCCACTACCCATAGTTCAGAGAGTGTTATTTCTATGTCAACTAGAATCTCATTCCACACAGAAGAGAAAAGCCAGTGGAGATACATATTATAGGAATACATGCATACCTGTGTTTATAGAAGCACAGTTCATAATAGCTAAATCTTGAAAGCAGCCCGTATATCTATCAACAGATGAAAAGATAAAGAATATGTGGTATTTATATACAATGGAGTACTACTCTGCCATAAAGAAGGGTAAATGAGTCATCTGTAGAAAAATGGATGTACCTGAGACCACAATGTTAAGTGAAATAAATCAGACACACAAACTTAAATACCATGTTTTCTCTTGTATGAGAAACCCAAAATAAAAATAAAAGATAACAGAAAATAGGAAGAGGCTGGGGATTTAGCTCAGTGGCACCACGCCTGCCTCAAAAGCCCAAGGTCCCAAATTCGATCCCTGGTACCAAAAAAAAAAAAAAAAAAAAAAAGGAAGATAAGTCGGGCTACATGCAAACTATGCCTTAGTTTTAAAAATTTTTTAAATGCTCTTTTTTTCCTCATATGAAG